CTCTTTCCCTCACTCATTCACTCTTTCCCTCACTCATTCACTCTTTCCCTCACTCTCTTTTTCTATCCATCTATCCATCCATCCATCCATCCGCTGTAAAGAGTTGCTGGAGTTCAGTTGAGCAGATGTTCAAAATCAACCTGTGCGTACTGAGGACAACCCAGCTTTACTGTAAATAAATGGAACTGTAGTCACCAGATGAAACTTCCATGTATTTATTTTAATTGATTTTGTGATTCGTTGTGGCGACTAATTGTTCTCTTCTTTCCTAAATCAGGCAGAAATGGAAAACAAGGCCATGTATCTGAGCACACATGAAGAAAGGGAGAACACGTCCATGTATGAGGAAGCCTACGATGGACACAACCTGTCCAAACTTAACCTTTGTGACCAAGGTAAAATAACTGATCTGCTTACAAGGTGCTTTTTTAATTTCTGCTGAAAACATTACGTTACTAAAGGATGTGAGTGTACTTCGAGCTGCTCTCTTGAGAAAGTTGTCGCAGTAGTTTACAGTAAAAGATGTCCTCAGTGATGAGATATCCTGAACTCTTTCTGGACACAGAAGCAGGAAAAATAAAACACAGCAAGTGTTTAAATGAGTTTCAGAAAGGGACTTTCCATAAAACCATTTACGTGTGCACAAGAAACACACACACAACCTGCACAGATTGAATCAAACACAGTAAAACATATGGGGAAGAAGAAGCTGTGCGGTCATCTTTTGGCACTCGTTCCCCCTCTGGTCATGTATGAAATCCAGAAATGTCCCGAGCAACATCTGGATGTGTGTGCACTGAACAAACTGACAGATGATTTTCTCAGGTTCCTACCCTTAATTAGAACAATTTACTGGGAACGTCTTCAGATTAACTGGATAATTTGTGACGTTCAGTTCAGTTAATTTATCTGACAAACCAGTTTATGGACATTCCATGTTTTCTATGTGGACAGCGGTCGAACTCCACTGCGCTTGATTAAGTTTGTTAGAAACACTGAAATTTCAAGCCAAGCCTAAATTAGAATACCTAGAAAACCTAAAAAGAAACTCATTTTGCTCTATTTATTCTACAGAACACTTGGAAAGGATTTAATCATTGCAATCATTACCATCAGTTTCCCCACAAAGAAAGTATTTCTGGAAAACTTGTCTATTTAAAACTATTTAGACAAAGTATTTGGTCATCACTCGCGTTTGTGTTTGCCTTTCTCTGTGTGTCCATGTTTGTCTTTTCCACGAACCAATGGATTGATTTTAATGAAACTCTTAAAAAGTAATCATTGAATGTGCGTCTGCAACTGATTTACTTTTAGAGTCTACTCGAGTTAAAACAGCTGCCACAGACAATAATGTTAGCAAACACAAAAATGCATGTAATTCAGTCAACTTTACACATATTGAACTAAAATGTTGGTGTGGTAGTAGCTGAGAGCCATCCTCAACAAGCTTTGAGTGCTGCACATTGTACAAAATATTTGCCTAAAACTTTGGCATTAACTGTTTGAGACAATGTTGTCTGTCTGTTAGCAAAATATCTCACAAAGCACTGAATACACAGTAGTCCCTCGATACTTTGCCGTTTGACTTTCGCGGACTCACTCTTTCGTGAGTTTTCAACGCAAGATTGTACACGACACACGACTGGTGATGGGGGAAGACAGACCCCCGCCCCCTCCTTTCTTTTTCCGAGGCTGTCTATTGCTTGCCTGCCTCTTGGGTGTCTTTGCTCTGCCGTCTGCTGCCTTAGAAAAAGAAAGGAGGGGGCAGGGGGCTGATATACCTGAGTGAGCTGCACTCAGTTGCGTTCAGCCACTCTCTCTCGCTCCCTGAGCAGTAGAGATGGGGAAAGACAGATCCCACCCCCAGAGTTTGTCCCTGAGACACACAACAGGTGGGTGTGCAACAGACAGCCTCGGAAAAAGAAAGGAGTGGCGGGGGGGTCGTCTTATACTTGAGTGAGCCACACGAGCTGCATGGATTGTTTATTTAAAATAATCAAGCATGAACCAAACCTTTCTGTCCTTCTCTGTGCTCTTTTAGAGCATTTGGAGAGTTTAGAACTCCTCTCTTCTTTCGACAAAGACAGTCGCTTACCCTCTCTCCCTCCCTCCTGCTTTTTCGCTCTCTTGTCCTGTCAACCTCAGAGCCTCTCTTTTACACATCTTCCAAATTGAAAATTATTATGGATTTGGTCAGCTGGTCCCTCAATGTAATTGATTAAATAAAATTTCCACCTGACGACAGGGAACTGGAGAGCCCTCATGCCCTGAACAGACCCACGCAGCTGGGTATGTCATTGATTCCTGGGGGGAGTGGAAGATGATGTGCCTCTCTGTTTTGTCCGTGGAGGATGTAGAAGATGTGTACATTATTGGATTTATGATAGGGTTGCTGGCAGCCCAAACAATTGTTTATCTGAATTTGTCCTCCCTGCTGGCCTTGGACAGGCCAACTTATCTCAAATTTCTCCTGGAGGATATGTAAAATAGAAGCTTTTGCTGCTTAGTCTCTCCATGTATGTCTCTCTTTTGTTCATTTTTTTCATTTTTTTTAAATTTAGCCTTTATTTATACAGGTAGTCTCATTGAGCCATGAGAACTCATTTTCAAAAGAGACCTGTTTAGGGAGCAGATGGGGGTTAAGGGCCTTGCTCAAGGGCCCAGAGTGGGGCGAATGAGGGTGGGGGCATGTGTGGATACTTCACCTACCCCACCCACATTTTTGATGTTGTCGGTACCGGGGCTTGAACTGGCGATCTTCTGAGTGTAATGCACTTTGGTAACAGTTCTTGTTTGAAATGTGCTATACAAATACATTTGACTTGACTAGAACATTGTTAAGAGCATTGCAAGAGTGTGGGAAGGGGTTATAAAGTCTTAAAATATGTATAAATACTAAAATAAATATAACGTTCCTATCGTGGATTTTCACCTATTGTGGGTGTGTCTGGAACGTAACTCCTGCTATAAGTGAGGGACTACTGTATTTGAATCAAACTCTCAAATACTAATTAATGTACCTCTACTACCGATTATCTGTTGGGCAACCCAGTTAAAGATGGCCACCACAGACTTAAGCCTACAAAATGTTGCAATAACTCTTCCTGTTTTATGAATATTGAGCTAAAATTTGATGTGATAGTAGTTGAGAGTAATCCTCAACACATACTATAAGCTCTAACAAACTGAGCAGGACACAGCATGAGATCGTGCATAATGTTATTTTCCAGATTTGACCAAAATGGCCTAAACTTTGTCATTTCTCACTGTAAGATAATATTTGTTAAAACTGACATCAAAGCTGGCGGGTGATACCTTCAAGGAATTCTAGACCTAATTTGTACCGAATAGTTTAATTTGAACATCTTATAAATCGCACAAATGTAAAGACATTAGCACAAATTTTAGCAAAGTTTATTAACTACTTGTTACACACAAAAATGAGCTTCAGCTGCTACAGCAACAAATTTCATTAATTATTTTGTCAGCTTGTGTTTTAGGGTGTTAAGTTTATTTTAAATAAAAAATAATTAGATCAAGAAATCAATGCTAAAGAAAATAAAATGACTGAAGAAGTTTTAGAAAACCCTACTTGAAGACTAGAAGCACTAATAAATGCTGTCTGAGCTGTAAATGTTTAAACAAATCAAACACAGTAAAAAGTTGTTTTAAATTTGTCAAATTTCAGTGTTAAAGTAAAAAACATTTAGGTGGCTTTTCGCTCTTTTGAACTGTTGAAACCATAAAACCTTTACTGCACGCATCGTAAATTAATCCCACTAAAAGCTGCTGGTTGTTCTTTCCAGTTTATGTCCTGTTAAATTTGTGCTTTTTCTTATTAGAAAGTGTGTTTTGAATCGGAGCAGGACTGAAATAAGAGGCAGAACAGCGTGGTGCAATGTTTGTTTTTGTACCGTACATTCCAACCATGTGACACACACACACACACACACAAGCCAGCTGTGTTTGACTTAGGCTGCGGTGGTGTGTGTTCTTCATCTTAGAGGGGAAACTAGTGTGTGTGTGACACCAGTCCACCTGCATCCACTGATAGATCGAGGCGGTTCAAATGAAATTGAGCTCCGCTGCAGAAACAGTATTTGTGTTTAAAATTCGGCTTCTTTCCACAGGAAGACAGGATCTGTGACCTCACGAGGTCCAAGTGGAGGCCACTTGAGTCCCCTCAGACACCTGAAGTCTTTGTAACATGATATATCAAGTAATTTAACATTTAATGAAGAGATTCAGCAAATCCAACAAAGTTCATTCAGGTCATCTGGACGTTTTCTTTTTGTTTGTTGAGATGTTTCGTCCTTCATCCAAAGGACTTCATCAATCCGAGGAGCCACAAACAAACTCAGTCCCACAAGGAGCACACTCCCATAGCGGGAAAAAACAGTTTACTGGTGATAAGATTGTTTCTGGGGCCCGCCCTCTCTCCTGTCGACTCCGCTGAGGCAGCCATAGCCAAAGTGGTTCAAAACATCAAAGCTCATGCTCAACAATCCAGGTAGAAAATCCGGATAGATAAAGTCCTTTGGATGAAGGCCGAAACATCTCAATTTAAAAAAATGGGAAAGAAACCGTCCAGATGACCTGACTGAACTTTGTTGGATTTTTTTACCTGGATTATTGAGCATGAACTTTGAAGTCTCAATAAATGTTCTATATTTTTATGCTGGCCTGGGAACATTCCTACCCTCATCTAAGGTCATGGAGCTTTGGGTTGTGACCGAAAGATTGAGATCTCGGATACAAGCAGCCGAAATTAGTTTTTTCCGCAGGGTGTCTGGGCTCTCCCTTAGAGATAGGGTGAGAAGCTCGATCATCCGGGAGGGACTCAGAGTAGAGCCGCTGCTTCTCCAGGTCGAGAGGAGCCAGTTCAGGTGCCTCGGGCATCTGGTTAGGATGCCTCCTGGACGCCTCCCACAGGAAGACCCAAGATACACTGGAGGGACTATGTTTCTCGGCTGGCCTGGGAACGCCTTGGGATTCCCCGGAGGAGCTGGACCAAGTGGCTGGGGAGAGGGACGTCTGGGCCTCCCTACTTAAGCTGCTACCCCCGCGACCGACCCCGGATAAGCAGAAGAAAATGGATGGATGGATTTTTATGCGTTCAGGAGCACTGGTTTCACTCCTTTGTAAAAATTAAAACTAAATTACTGACAATTAGTTTTACAATCAATTTGAGTTCTAGACTTTCTTAAGATCCCCCAGTTAGGTTTTAATTACTCCAAATGGAGTCTAAACCCCAAGTTCAAGAACCCCTGCATGGTTAACATGATAAAGGTTCACTGACGACAAGAAGCTTTTGTTTGTCTGCAAATTAGAAAGTCTAATAAATAATCAAATGCAGACATGATGAAACATATAGTGCATAGAACTGTGTGCTTTACTTGTTTGTTTCTGCCATACAGCATTTAGGTTGGCCTTATTGCTGTTTTAAGTGCTTTATAAATAAAGTGGGATGGTATAGATGGTATGTATGGTATGGTGTGGTATGTATGGTATGGTATGTTATGTGTGGTATGGTATGGTCTGTATGGTATGTATA